ATTTTTGTATAGGAAAAACATATGATACCAACATAACTATTCAGAACATTCATGGGAGTCAGGAACACTATCTCATTGAAGTATGCTTTCAAAATAACCTTGCTTCAATTAGGACTTTTGAAGGTTGTAACGTGGCCTGGTTCACGGTTTTTAGAAAAAAGATTTTAAGGCTCAAAATATTTGGTGCCCACCCATTCTTCATGATGTTCTCCAATCCTATGTTCAGTTAATTCAACATGAGCGTCCATCTCTCAAAAGGATTTTGTGACGGTTAAGGAAACGACGAGGTTTTCAGAGTAGAAACCACCCTCATGTCTTCGTGTTTGTAGTCACCAATTTGTTCTTTGCTGAGGACTTTTCTTTGCAGTCCTTTTCTTTGCAATTTTTATTTTCCCTAACTTTTGCCTGAACTAATTCTTTTGAATTGATAGTCCACCGGGATGCCTTAATTTTTCCTAAGTCACACGTTTTCATGTTTTTTGACTTAGCAGGCTTTTTCTTTTTTCTTGGTTTTTTGACTTTTTGAACAAAATGTGTGACATTAGCTTGTATTTGCTTGTTGAGTGGATTGTTACTTCCTCATTTCTTGATGGATGAGGGATAACATTATGGTTCCACATCCTCTGGCTTTATTATACATGAAGGATGGCCCTCATAGTTTCTCTTCAAAAAACATCCTCCTTATGAATTTTGAACACTCAATCAGATTAACTGAAAACTACCCTGCCCCAGGTTAAAATTCAAGGTTTTTTCGTATAGAAAAGAAACTTCTGCTTCAAAGGCTCAAAAGGGGTTAGCAAGGGATTATCTTCCTTATATCTCCGGTGTTTAGGGATTTGAAACAATGCCTGTACATCATCAGCAAGATTTTATCCAAAAGCAAACAACAAGAGATTTTGTGTTCTTTAGATCATCATCCTCCCTTCAATCTCTGCCTAGGCAAGAGACTGGGCAACAAGTTAGTATCATAATGCAAAAAGCAATTTAAAATTTGAAAACGAATATGAGTGAAACGAATGAATTTCTTCAAGACAAACATATTTATTGTATTAAGATAATCATTCAGATGCAAACAAGTTCTTACATGCAAACAATGTTTTGATAAACAAGAAAAATTACAAAAAGCATAAATAAGTTAATAATCTGGGAAGGCTTTCCATCTGGACTTGAATTACCGAAAACATCCTTCAAAACTCAAGGTGACCATCAATCGTGTTTACTCTTCGGCACATGCTTGATTTGAACTTCAAAACCAACGTCCTTGAATGACAATATACCACTTCTGACCAACTTCTGAACCTCAATCTTCAAAGCAAAGCAACCCTCTAAGTCGTGCCCAGGAGCACCTTGATGAAAAGTACAAGCCAAATCAGCTTTGTAGTACCAATGTATCTTCTCAGGAACCTTTGGTGGAGGTCGGGTCTGAACCAAATTCCTCTGCATCAGGATAGGGAACAACTTTGTATAGGTAATTGGAATTGGATCAAACTGGGTTTTCCTCTGATTAAGAACTTGCTGATTTTGTTGATGAATAGGAGGAACATGATGATTTTGACGATGAATATTTCTTCCTCTGGTTCTCTTCTTGGAAAAGTTGTTATCAAACTTCTTCACACCATTAGTTGAGCTACCATCCCTTTCCGACATCTTCTTCTAGACGCACTCCCACATTCACCTTGTCAGGAAAGTCATTAGGTGCATTGACCATCACCTTCTCGTGAGAGAATGATTTTAGAGTTTCAGTGAAGACTTTTATCATCGCTTCCTCCTTCTTAGAAGGAATGACTTGGGCAGCAACCAAAATTTCAACCAAAACAGTTGAGTGATCCATACCAGCTTTCAAATTAGTCACCTCTCTGCGGAGTTCAGAAATCTCTTGCTTGATATTCTCCATTGTTCTCTTAGCGTCAGTGTTGTACTGGTGAGACCAAAGAAAAAATAAGACTCAGAAAAAAGACCTTTGAAAGTGAAACAAAAAATGGAGAATGATGTATGATATGCAAAAGAGAGTTTTTATTTGATTTTCAAGGAACTCGAGATATTAAGTTGTAAACATCAAAGTATGAAGATAGAAGATGAATTTAAAATTGGCTCCAAACATTGATTAAGTTATCATCAAGATCAATCATCCATTTTGGTGGATTAGGGTTTTCGCCCTATCAACACCCAAGATCCATTGAGCTTGACAAAACTTGTGATGTTTACAAAGAAAGACTTCCAAATTCCTTCAAAGTCAAGTGAAAAGGGTTTTATGAATGCATGGCTATGCAACAACCACAAGCAAGGTCACAAATAAAGTCGAAAGGTTCAACGTCACGAGCATGGAGTCAAGGTAAGGAACACCCCCAAGGCATGTACTAACGGTTTAATCACACCTGTAGAACAAGGTTCTAAGAGTTCCCGGAGTCTACATTCCTCCTTCGGATATTACCAACGTCTTGATTACTCAATAATCAGCAATATTCTCAAGAGAAACTCATCCGAGCGTAGCATCGCGTAACAATTACTTCCGGATTACTCCGTTATAATCTCCGCGCTACACCTAAAAGGCCAAGATGGGTTAGGGTTCTACGGTTCCCAGCTTCTCTGGCTCCCAGGTCGAAAATAATAATGTCTTCCCGATTACTCGGTAAACAAATATTACGTTCAAAAGGGCCTTCCACTAAGTGGGGGATCTCATGCCTCCTTCTTCGGGATTACTCCCTCAAAGTTAACATGACTATACCGCCCGTCCTATTCCTAAGTGTAACTTAGTCCGGGTATAGGACTTGTCCTTTGTAAGTATTATCAACACCCAAACAATCATAATATATACATATAATCAAACAATCAAATAATGATAAAACAGATAAAACAAATTAGGCTTAACCCACTTAGGGATGGACCAGCAAGAGGTCAATCTATTCCCCAGCAGAGTCGCCAATTCTGTAGCGGTGAAAATCGGAGATCAAGCTATTAATTAACTTGACTCACAAAAGCAAGAGTCGCCACCGCGCTTTATTATTTCCAAGGGAAAAGGGAAAAGAGCGAAATAAAACCCTAAAATGTGCAATGTAAAATAATACTTAAAAGTAATAAAAATACAATGCGTTTTTGAAAGAGATCGAGAGTTCGGGGGTTGGTTATACAATGGGAAGGTATTAGCACCCAATGCATATGCGGTACTCCGCAGGAACCTTTTGGAATATCTGTTTTTGGTTAAAATTGTTTGTTTGATTAAAATGGTTTATTTGGTCAAAATGGGTATGGATGAGATTTTTGGAGATACGACGACCTAGTGTCGAAGTTTTGACTTAAAAGGTGTGAGTTTGAAAATGGAATCTTTTTGGGAAAATTATCTTGAGTTTAGCAAAATAGTAAACAAACAAAAAATGAAAAAAGGGTATTCGCACGATCGGATGGGACGTATTTGATGACGTGAAGTCAACAAATTTAAATCTTTTCCTTGGAGTTAAAACCATAGACGGATAAATAAGCTAAGAGTATATCAAACCTTAGGTGAAAATAAATCACAAGCCGACAGCGTCATCAAAAAAACCTAATGTGAGATAATACTCCAAGCATCAGATAAAGCGCAAAGGCGGTGGATAAAGCTCATGGTGTCAGATAAGAATCCCTGCATCACAAGAGATATACCGACAAAGTCTAACAACACGGGAAACTTATGTGCGTCCGCACAATTTTCAGAAGTTAATTGGAATTAAAAATAAAATCACAATGCAATGAAAATAATATTTTCAAAAACCTGAATTTATTTACAAGTGAAGTGAATAGACAGTCAAAATATTATGTACAGGTGTATATTTACAATACCAAATAAAATAAAAATAATGAAAGACAATAGAAAGGTAAGAGGAGAAATGTAGGAATTATGGATACGTTATGTGAGAATGGATACTTGAAACGATTTTTTTGGAAACCTTCACAGTAGCAAACGCGTTAGTAGCATAAGCGGTATAAAAATTAAAATGAATGAAATTGCAACAAGATTTGAATTTACGTTAGTAATCACAAAGTATAAAAATCAAAATGAACTTGTATGATGCATATGAACAAATGAATGTTTACACAAATCAAAATCAAGAATTCATGATATTGTTCAATGTAAACACACACAAAAATCAGCATTATCAAAAATTGGACAACAACAAATTATGCATAAAAGCTCATGAAAATCAATTTCCAAGTGATTCCAAACTTATGTAAAAACAAACACTAATATTAACCAACAAATTTTTGTGAATCGAATACAAATTGAAACATCAACAAAACCACTTTTAAAATGATTTAAACAACAAAACATCATCAACACCGACAATTCGAAATTAATCAACTCATGCCAAAATTATATTGAGCTCAAAAAGTGATGAAAATAAGTTTTAAATCAAAGTTTCGGTGAGGTATAAATTCGGACAAAAACCAACACAAGTTGTTAACACTCGATAAAAGCACCTCGAAAGGATTCAAAACTTATGAGAAAACCAATTGATACACCAACCATGTTAACCTTTCAAAACCAAATCTAATTGCACATGAACAAATGAACATTTTTGAAACAAAAATCAGCATGGCATTGATTAGGCGAGCTTAACAAACTAAACAAGATTAAAGCGATTGAAAATAAATGAAACACAAGATGGCCAAGGGATATATACATCTCAATTTTTGTCAATTATTTCCTTGAGTACAAAAAAATGCAGCATTATTATCTCATAACAAAATCAGTACCCCATCTTTTCAGCTAAATTGAGTTTCTAAATCACAAACAAGTTAATAGTCAAAATTCTCATATTTCAACAGCAAACTGAAAATTTATCTATCAAAAACAGATTAATCATTAAGTTATTAATAAGAAAATAAAATCTACAAAAAAAAACAAAATAGAAATTATAGTGAGAACTTACAGAAGAAGGTTGATGATATGGTGATGGCGATGGATGTTGGTGATGAAGCGATGACTGAAGGTATGCGGAACAGATGCGGAGTCCCCCCTTTTATGATTATGGATCTGCCACCCTATCAACAACAATAACCAAAATCATCTCCAAGTCTTCATTTAACTCCGAGTCGTCGTAATCGTCAATCGAAGCTGGACAGAGATTGTTGCGAACAAAATTGAATGTTGTCGGAAGGGAATATGCCGACACAGTTGACGCGGAAATCGGAGAGTATTCCCTGCTGTTGATATTGTAGATCGGAGGATCACCGACGGACAGAACGAGCAGAAAATTGTTGAAGTAGCTATCGCCGGTTTGTGACTGGTCTGAGTGTGAGAACGGAGTTCCGCAGAGTGCGTCGATGATGGATGTTCATGGTTGAGGCTGGAAGTGTAGCTGAGATGTTGTGTTGTTGAAATCGATGGTGGATGGTGAGCTCGTGCGACAGAGGTGAAGTTCCGTGACCGGAAGTGGGTTTCAGTGGTTGCTGACAGTTATTAGCGACTCAACGATAAAAGGAAGACGCAGAGGGAGCTGAACTGATGGGAACGGTGAAACGGTGCTTGTGCATTTGGAATTGAATGGGTATGATGCATGCATACCTTCTTAGTTGCTGAGATTGAGATGAAGTAAATTGTCAAATTTTGGAAAATGTAAATGAGTGACCTTTTCAAGTAACCGCTGTGTTGCTGAAAGACTCAAGCTTGAATGTTTGCGGAGTACAAATTTGAAGCTCTTCAAAGAAGATGGTAGGCAAAGAGGTGGAACACAAATTCTAGCACAATCCTCAACATACCAGTAAAAATCCAGAGTTTCTAGACAAGGGCAGCCTTGGAGGAATTCATTGAGGGAAGACGCATCAATACCGCATATGTCTAGTCCCAACGTCTTTAGTGATGGTAAACTAAAAGACTTGGGTTGTTGTGGTTTAAAACTCAATGCACCTTTGAGATTGAGAGAGACCAGATTAGAACATTTGGAAATGTTTTGGGGAAGTGAAAAGCAAAAATTGTGTACAGTATAGAGTGTGATGTCGAGTTCTTTGATGAGGGGTCTCATTGCGGAATGGAGCCAAGCATCAATTGAGGCGGAACACATGGTGTTCAGTGAGAGATTTAGTACATGAGAGGCGTATCTTGTGAACTTGGTAAGGCCTGAGGACGTAGATAAGGCTGTTGACAATAATAGAAAAATATTCTGAAGTGCTTGAATCGTTGAGAATGGAATTGGATAAAGCTTGTTTCCAACTAGAAGCTTGTTAACGTTTTCACTTGCATAGCGGTCAATTTCATTCAGCCACTGCTTAACATTGTTGAAGCTCTCTTGGTCAGTGACATCATAAACCACAATTATGCCATGAGCCCCACGGTAGTAGCTGCTAGTGATAGTACGTGTGCGAAGGATGGACGACGGTCCAAAAATGCGGTGGTTGAGCTACGTAGATCTGGAAAGGCAGTCGTCAGAATCTGGAGGGACCGCCGGCGATGTTGGTTCATTGGAGGTGAATGTAGCTATATGGGTGTGGGAAGGGTATCTTGTGCGTTTTTTGTTGTTCGCGTTTTGAAGAGAAGAGGGGTGGATTGAATGGATAAGGGTAATTGGTTAAGAAGAGAGAAGAGGGAGTTAGTTACTGTTGCTTTTGTGTTGTTGTTTTTTGTTTGAGTTGGTTTTTGGTGGGTAGAGAATAGATGGAGGGTGATGGTTACTGTAAGTAGAAAAGGCTTATGCGTGGAGAGAGGATGTGAGGTGTTAGGAAGAGAAAAAAAGGTGGAGAGAGAGGGAAAATGAATTGAGAGTCAAAGGTCCACGTTTGCTTTTTGTTCCCCCTTTGCAAAGAAAAATGAAGCCTTTAAATAGAAAAAGAATAGAAATATTATGATTTCAAAATAAATCCAAGCCGTTCAATATAAATCCAATCTCTATCAATCCGCAAACCATGCTTTCGACCAATGAGAATTCAATCTCTATCAATCAACAAACTATGCTATCGACCAATGAGAATTAAGCAAAGCCTAATTAATATTTTTTGTGACCAAAAAGTCCCTGAATGACAAAAATAAAATAAAACCTGAAATTATAAAAAAATAACTCAATTTAAAATGATTTTTTTGAATATTTTATGAATAAAAAATAAAGACTCAAAAATGACCGAAAATGATAAAAAACGGACGAAAATTTATCCGAAAAAATAAAATGAACACATTAAAATAATCTACATGTCACAAAGATTAAAGAAAAAAATATTCAAGAAGTCAAAAAATCAAAAATAAAATAATAATAAAAATATCAGACTAAACAGACGTTTAAGGTTAAAAACGAGACTTCGAACTGTACCGAAAAATAAAGCGAGCATACCGTCATAATCTACGCGAAGCGCAGATTCATAAAATGATCGGTAAAAGGTGAAAACTTGAAATATTTTCTCGCTATTTTCTCGCATAGTGTCGAATCGCTTTTAACAGTCTGTCTATAAAATCAGAATATTTTTATTATCGACATATAAACAACTTGGAGCAGTGCGAGAAAAATAGTAAACAGATAAAAATGAATGAAGTGAAATGTCGGGTATTTTACAACTGAAAGACGATGCAAACTTTGATTTAAACTGACTTTTTCTGGTCAACTTAAATACGACTAATGATGCAAAATGTGATGAATGAAGATATTTACTAATGATTGTGACCAAATGACAAAATATGGTATGAATGTGCGACTGAAAAAAATAGGGGCGAAATTAAGGATGCAACAGTGTGCCTTGATGAATCAGTCTTCGAGAATCCACAATCAACCGTACTTCTGGCTTGAGAGACTCAAAACCTTAATTGAGGCGCGACACCTGATGCTCTTGATTCAGACCTGTCTCTGCACATGACACAAAAGAAAACATGAACATACACCTTTGTATGCGATTAGAAATTAGTGATACATAGGCTAAAAATGTTCAAAAACACTTGACAATCTTCGCATAGTCAAAGCTTGAAAGTGAGAGGTTAAAACCGACTGTATTTCGTGACCTTGACTTATCTTAAAAAATGCAAAAATAAAAATGGGATCTTAGGTAAAAAATTGGGGTACAACACTTCTTAGCTGGGAAAGCTTTCTTAACAGCAGTGGATGCGGAAGTATCCTTCTGAATCTTGCCACTTTTAATACCGGCCTCGACCCTTTTGCCGGTCAAAATTAGTTCAGTAAATCCCGCGGAAGAACTCCCGATTAGATGATTGAAGAAGGGGCCAGACAGGGTCCCCAAAAATATGTCAACTAACTCCCTATCTGAAAACGGTGGCTGCACCCTTCCAGCCAGATCACGCCACTTCTGGGCGTACTCTTTAAACCCTTCATTGGAAGCCATCCCCATACTTTGTAACTGAGTACGAGTGGGCGCCAAATCAGCATTGTATTGGTATTGACGATAAAAAGAATCTGCTAAGTCTTCCCAATTGTGAACCTCTGATCTCTCGAGTTGATAGAACCAGTCCAACTATGTGCCAGACAGACTGTCTTGGAAAAAGTGTACCCAAATGTGTTTATCAGACGAGTGGGGTTGAATCTTCCTGACATACGACCTCAGGTGCATCTTTGGGCAAGACAGACCGTCATACTTAGCAAATGTCGGTACCTTGAACTTGGGAGGGATAACGATCCCAGCTACCAACCCTAGTTCTTCAAAATCCAAACCGGGCACCCTCTACAACTCCATGACTGCCAGTCTATCTTCAAGATTCTTATATTTATCATCTGCTGGAGGATATTGTTATTCGGAGTAGTCTTCGTCTTCTTCCTCTTCTTCCTCTTCAACCTCAGATTCATAAGGTACAGCAGCCCCTTTCCCTTTACCAGCCCCTTCGTTAGACGTTGAGGGGAACTCAAGAACCTTCCTAGCATTGCTTTCAAACCTTCTTCCAAAAGTGGCTACTCCGGGCCTCTTCTTATTTTTCTCTTTATTCTTCTCCAAGAGAGCTTTGAGATCCTCTTGACCCTTTGCCAAGGTCATGAGGAGTTGCTGAAATTGTGAATTTTGTGCCTGCAGATCTTTGACCGTCTGCTCCAAATCCATCTTGCTGAAATAAACAGCAGAAAGATAAGGAAACCTGGTGTGAAGACCTGTTTATGCATATGATGAATGGTATGTTATTCATGTAATGCATTCAAGGATTCAGAAATTCAAATTCGTTGCAAACAAAAAGGAACACACGTCATATTAAGAAGAAATTGTTAGTACATAAGTGCCCCATGGGCAAAATATTACAAAATTCTTAATGTAAAAAGACATTGCGCATCCTCTTTGGTGAGATGTAAGTGTTGAGAGTTTCCTCCTCATGAAGTCGGCGGGTAAGCTCCAAAACCTTCTTCTCACTGGCATAGAAGTTGGCTTCAAAAGTATTCCGTTCTTCTTTGAGTTGGATCCAACTCTTTTGTAATTCTTCCAATGATGTTGGCATGTCAGGATGTAGGATGGTGTATGGAACCTCTCCTTCCATAACAGGCTCTTTGATCACGAGGAGAATGTGAGGGTATGGCATTATAAGATTCTGGGAGCGGGTTCGTACCCACTTGAGGTAAGGCTCAAGGGGGATGGAATTTTTGTGCCCCAGTGTCTTACTATCCACCTTGTTGGGCATCCTCCAAGCTCTGATGAACCTTTGTCGAAGTCCTTGTGCATCGTTGTCGAAGTCAAAAACTAAGTCAGGAATGACCATGTCATGAGGGTCATCCCTCCGAGCATATCCAAACTGTCTTAGAGCTAAACAGGGGTTGTAGGTAATGCCTCCCCTAATTCCAAGTAGTGGGACATTAGGGAATTCCCCATAACGATCAATGATGATGACATTTTCTCTGGACCGAGAACACCAATGTACATCAGAATGTGTGAGGGCCATCAACCGTTGTGACCATCTTAAACCCTGCTCATTCTTCAAAACTAGTTGTGGAAGGTGAGAAATAAACCACCTTGCTAGGAGAGGAGTACAGCACATGAGAACACCTCTTTTCCTCATTGTTCGTGTGTAAAATGAGTGTAGGATGTCCCCAAGCAATGTAGGTATAGGATTCCTGGATATGAAAATCTTGACAGCATTCACATCTATAAGTTGGTCAGGGTTTGGGAACAAGACCAACCCATAGATAAGGAGTGCCACAATCTCTTCAAAGGCTTGTAGATCAAGAGAATTCCAGCAGTCTTGTGCCTTCTCAAACAGAAACTTTGCCAAGAAACCCTTGACACCACTTCTGGTTTCCCAATGTCCCTTGATTTCAGATGGTTGCAAGTGTAATGCTTAAGCAACATCTTCAGGCTTTGGTTCTTTTTTCGTACTGTTGTAGGGTAGTTGATGAAGAATAGGAATTCTCAGGAGTTGAGAAAATTCCTCTAAAGTGGGTACTAACTGGTAATCAGGGAATGTGAAACAGTGGTGTAGGGGGTCAAAGAACTGGAAGAGAACTTTCACCATGTCTTCTTCAATGTTTGAGTTGACCAAGTTGAGGAGTCTACCATGTCTTTCACTGAAGAGAGAATTCTCTGGAATTCTGGAAGTGAGCTCCTTGAGTTGAGGAGGGATTCTCACAAGGTTGACTTGAATTGTTTCCTGCGAAGAGATTCCATGACCTACAAAACAAGAACAAAGATGAAGATCCAAACCCTTGAAATGGTTAGTGGATGCATATGATGCTTTATGATGTTCATGATGTATGCACAAGCACATGTACAAGCAAGTCACACAAAACCCTAGTTTCAGGCTTGCATGAGGTTTCATAGGTAAATACCCTCTTGAGTTTAGTTGGCTCAAACCTGTCCTATAAATAGTAATCGGGTTCTAAGGAGCTCAATATCACTGGATTGTTTTCTATGTTCATTGTTTTGGTTTAACCACTTAACTAGTGACCAAAATATTCCAAGAAAACAACCCTCAATGAGTGTAGTATCGAGTATCTACCAACTTCGGACTGTACCAAAGCCGGTCATCTCACTACTCCTAACAAAAGGCCAAGATGGTCAAGTAAGGTTCTAAGAGTTCACTAGTGCTTCATGACATCACTCAGCGGCCCCGTATTCTCTTTGATTGACTCAAAGGCTACCGGTACTCACAAATATGTCGCACTAATATAGCTATTGCTTCAACCATGTCGGTATACCCCGCACAGTTTCCACAACGTATTGCTATTTACCTATGAATGTTTCCCAAATCCGGGTAGAGGATTTCAAGCCCAAACAAGAGAACCAAATATGAAGCAATCAAGGCAAACAATATAATCATGCAAAGGGTGATCTAAGCCCTAAGGTTACTCCACTTTTAAAGATTCCCCAGCAGAGTCGCCAGTTTTGTGATACGGTGGGAGAACTGACTTGAGGTTTTGCGTTTGTATTCACAAATGTTTCGGTTTAGCAAGAGTCGCCACCGACTTTTTATTTTATCCAAAGGAAAGGTAAAAAAGCACAGGAAAGACCTTTGAGATGTTTTCTTGGGTTCGGGGAGTATATTATAGAAAGGGAAGGTAT